GGGCAGGCGGTAATCGAACTCATGCGGAAGCGGCTTTAGATTCTCAGTGCTGTGCTTTAACCCGCTGCGCCACCAGGGAGGGCCTTTTTCCCCTATTTTATAAGCAAGACTGTTTTGCTTAAAGTACCTGACTTATAGTCAGGTATAAATTCCTTGTCACATTGGAGACCAACACATTCAGTGAACTAGTTTGTTTTATGAGTTAACATTTTAGTTATTAACAGATATACAGTATATTGATGGGCAAGGGAATATGACTTGAGTTATATGCCAGTAAAAGGGCTTTTTCCTTATTTTTGACCTAGCATATGAAATCCTGTTCCATATTTGTGAAATTTCTTTGATTTTTGGTGGGTAACAGGATACCCCTGTGACTATAGCCAGGTAGATTTGACCAAGCAAACCACCAATGTGGGCAGCAGTACAGGAGTCAGTCAGGCAGAAAATTAGGAGCTGTTATACTCTCATCTATCGAGAATAAATGTAGCAGTTGCATTCTTCCTTGGCCCAGTGCTGCTGCAATTATTCTTTCATGATTGTATGTCCTATAAGCTGTGTTCTCCTAAGATTAGTATCTATAGATATCTTTTCATAAATACACTTTCTAGTTAAATTTGCCACAGTAGGTTTTGTTGCTTCCAGCTAACTGGGGGAAACATATTTAAAAAGAGGAAATCTTGTGTTAGTTTTTTCAAAGCTATATTACACACAGGTTAAAAGTGTTTTAGTGTAGGCTCTGTGAGATGTTGCATACTATAGTTTTTCATTTTACTATCTGCATTTTAAAATTTCAGTGTGCTTTATGGACCATGTGCTGCTATGTATGCCTGAAGTACTTGAAATGCAAAATTGGAGACATTTTGCCATCTAAATGCTTGACTGGATTAAGCGCCTAATTAGGATGATTTTCCAACAGGCTGGAGTAAGCATGCAGTCGGTGAGTACTCAAAATACATTTTTGGAATCCAAACTTTTAGATCTTTTAATGTTTAAGTGAGATAAATATATTATGACCACCATTTTTAACTTACTGTTTATGTACTATTTAATTTTCTTACTCTTTAAATCAGATATAAATCTTCACCCAGTATCCTAATTAAGGGAGTAACTTTTTGGTTACTTTGAAAATATTCATGTGACTGTTAAAAGCAATGCATTAGTTATTAGTGAAAAAATGACTAAATATATATGGAAATCACTGAGTGAAATGTTTGACTTGGCATTTGACAACTTTGGGTGTTGTGTTGATACAATTGTTACTATTGAATACTTTATTTTTTTCAAAGATTTATTTATTTATGCATACAGAATTGGGATACAGGCCAGAAGCGCAGGGGCAGTGAGATGATTGAGGATTCATCAGAGACAGAGTGGAGAGCAGAACAGGCAGATTGACGAAGTACACTGCTGAGGGGAGCAGAGGGGAGCAGCAGTCAAGAGAGGGTTAAAGCGCAGAACTGCAAGCATGCCTAGACATTTTTGGTGATTATATGATTTTAAATGTAGTCAATCCAAACTTTCTCCTCTATTATGTTAATGTTTTTGAGCAAAAATGTTTTCAAGCTAGATAGAGAAAGCAAGAATAAAATGAATATGATTCTGGCTGATCAGTATTTTGTTTAAAAAAATTATAGCAAATATCTTATTAAGGGGTAAGAAATCCATTCCATTAAGATATAATTAAATAAGTTATTAAACAAAAAAGGGTTTATTTTTAATAGTAATTCATATTAGTAATATTTTCAAGAATACATAACAAACTGTTCCCTTATTTACTGTTTTTGCTTTTTGGAGTAGTAATGTGAATGTGACTAGGAGTTTAGAGTAAGGAAGAAGAGAAATGAGCATACTTTTTATTTTCCCCTGGCTCTCTTTGAATTAAGCTATTACACAGGGGCCCTCCATGGTGGCTTAGCAGGTTAAAGCACAGAACTAAGAAGCAAAAGCATTTCAACATGAGTTCGATTCCCACCCCTGAGGTGACCCACATTGCATGGCAGACCTCTCCTGACCCGCCCGCTGCTCCCCTCAGCAGTGTACTTTATCAGTTGGCTTGTTCTACTCCCCATACTATCTCTAGTGAATCCTCTCACCACCCCTGCACCTCTGGCCTGTACCCCAGTTCTGTATGCATAAGTAAATAAATCTTTAAAAAAAAAAAAAGATATTACACGGTTTGGTTTGACCTCCTTCCCAGAAAAATGATGTATATACAACACACACACAATTTTGCTTATAATTTTAGGTATATATGAATCTTAGAAGAAGATGTGTTAATATTACATGGTTTATTGGTTTATTTTGAAAAAAGGTATTTGCTTATAATTGAATTAGTATTAGAGTAAATAGTGCCTTTCAAATAATAATATAGTTTGAAACAGTCTATAACAAATGCATTGCTGCAAAAGCTTGAGTTATCATCATGATGTGATAGATGACAGCTTCAGAGTCTAGCCTCACACACACTTTAACACTTCCACAATAGTATTTCACTACGTTCAAAAAGAACAAATTGTTTTCTTGTTGTCATCTTCCGCCTTGCTGTCATCACTTTCAAACATTGTTGCTAAATGTTATGGACTGTCATTATTAGGCAGACATGCAAACACACATACACAGATTCATTATTAGATTGTCAGTTCTTATAAATAAAGCCTTTTTTTGTTTAATAACTAATTATATCTTAATGAAATGGAATTCTTACTCGTTAATGAAATCAGATTGTCTTGTAGTGACATTTTTTCCCCTGCCCTAATATTTTTTCTTCTACATCTGAAAAGATATTAATGACAGTTTATCTTGGAGGATGTCTTCCCTTCTCTAAACAAGTATACTAACAAAACACAGTTCAGCCACCAATTAGGGTAAGGAGATGAACTTGGGTCATAGAACTTCCCAGTGCACAGATGGTGGTTTTCAGTACCATCTGTTCAATATTTCTTCATAGCCATTAACAATATCCCACCCCCCACTGTCCCCATTACTGAATAGGAAAAATCAAGTAGGACCTAGTTTTAGTTTTAGAGTTCCTGGAATTGACTTCTTTTTCCCCTTACGTTTTTCTTTTTTTTTTTAAATGAATTTATTTATGCATGTATGCATACAGAAAGAACTGGGGTACAGGCTAGAGATGTGGCAGGTGGAGAGAATTCCCCAGAGACAGTGGGGAGCAGAACAGGCAGATCTATTGAAATACACTGCTGAGGGGAGTAGTGGGTGAGACAGGAGAGGCCTGCTGCACCATATGGGTCACCTTCCTGGTGAGGAATTGAACTAGTACTGCAGTGGCTGCATATCACTTCATAGTACTGTGGTTTAACCCATTGTGCCACCAGGGAGGGCCTTCCCCGCAATTTTTTTCTATAATTCAGTAAAGGTTATGACTCTTTTCTAAGTATTCTACCCATTCATTTACATGGCCCCTAGCTTCATATTTCATTGTGCTAAGAGCTATCTGATTCACAGGTTAACAGAAGACTATATTAGTCTACTGTGTATAATTGAAAAGACAATTAACATAAAGCAAGCTGTGCTTTTTCTTCTTTTAACTTTGTAGAAATCCAAGTAATCCTATTCCTTATGAGTAAAAGTAAAACCTCTGGTTTACCTTCGCTTGTAGAAAGTGACTGGAATTCTTTCTTTCTGATATTAAGCATTTGGGAAACAGTAGCTGAAACTGTCATGCAGAGTACATAGCATTCTGCTATGTACTACAGCTGGCAGAAACTTTAGTTCCTGACCTTGGCAGATCTTTGTAAAAATTTTCTTGTGAACTTTTGTCCTTTTCATCTCCAGACAAGATATTTGCTTACTGGAAGGGCAGGAGATTTATTCCTGGCTGTGCTTGGGTATTATGATATCACAGGAGAATTCTGATTTCTAACTAAATAGAAGATTAAAGATGAAAAAATGACTAAATGATGTAGTTGGTATTGCCAAATGGATTTAATTGTAAAAGATCAAGGCTTATTAAAATGTATAGTTTGCTTAATGTCTGTTTTAGAATTAATTGCACAAGTTTTTTTTTCTCCCCACATTCTTATTTTTTTCTCTAAATACCTATGTGCTATAATTCATGTGTGTATGATCATGGTGTGAACAGTATGCATTCCTGACCTACAGGTAATTCTTGTCTAAGCTTTTAAAAAAAAAAGCCTGTGTCTCTTAATGTTCTTTGTCTTGTAATAGTATTTCAATATTGATAACTTTTTCTTTTAAAAAAAAAATATATATATTTTTAAAGATTTATTTATTTGTGCATACAGAACTGGGGTACAGGCCAGAGGCTCAGGGGCGGCGAGAGGCTTCACCAGAGACAGAGTGGGGGACAGAACAGGAAGATCGACAAAGTATACTGCTGAGGGGAGCAGCGGGCGGGTCAGGAGAGGTCTGCCACGCCATGTGGTCACCTCCGGGGCAGGCAGGAATCGAACTCATGCGGAAGCGGCTTTAGATTCTCAGTGCTGTGCTTTAACCCGCTGCGCCACCAGGGAGGGCCAAAAATATATATTTTTTTTAAAAATTTATGCATTCAAGAAATGGGAAGGGGGTGAAAGATTAACTAGAGATAGACTGGGCAGCAGAATGGGTGGATTGACTGAAATACACTGCTGAGGGGAAGCAGTGGTCAAGAAAGGAGAGGTCTGCTGTGCCATGTGGGTCACCTCCCTGGTTGGGGATCAAACTTATGCTGCTGTGGTTGAGGATAGCTTCATCGAGCCGAGACTTAACCCATTGGGCCACCAGGGAGGCCCTGTTTGTTTGATTTTTGTGTGAAAGAACTAGGGTGTAGGCCAGAGGTGCGGGGGTGGAGGTGAGAGGATTTACCAGAGACAGAGTCAGAAGCAGTATAGGCTGATTTGCCAAAATACATTGCTATGGGGAGCGGTGGGTGAGATAGACCAGAGGTCTGCTGTACTGTATGTGGGTTAGCTCCTTGGCTGGTGATTGAATTCAGGCCATAGTGGTGATAGTGCTGAGACTTAATCCCTAGGCTGCCAGAGAAGCCCCATATCCTATTTTTCTACGGATCAATTTTCCAATTGAATCATCCTTTTCAAATAATTATTTCTGAAGTAAGGCATACCATTTTTGTTGGTATAGTTACAGTATTTCTTAAACTCTGTGGTACAATTACTAAATATACTGATGATAATTATATTAAAATTGAGGCATATGTGAGAGGTGTTACATAAACCCCTCTATCATTTTGTATCCTTTGACTCTTACTGGCATTCCTGAATTGGTTTGGGGCTAAAATCTAAGAAATCAAACAGCTTCTGTGCTCATTTTAGAAGATGCACTTGCTTTTAGAATGATTGAAAGGACTGCTTTGGGTTATGTGTTAAAGTCATTTTTTCCTTTGTCAAACTCTTTTTGTTAGGGTGATTCCATTGCTCAGTATATTTGCTAGCTGATTTGGTACTATTTATTTAGCTTTAGGATACAATAAATATTATTAAAGTATAATGAAAGAAGTATAACAGATGTTATTCATTCTCCTTTATTTCTTTTGAAATTACTTATAATTGCATACTACATCTCTACCTCTGTGTCCAAAATTACAAGTAGAGCACTCAAAACAAATGAATAGTTTATCTCTTTAAGTAAAAATCATTCATTACTTGGGGAGAAGTTGTAAGGTACAATTTGTAATGATTTAATTTTCTACTTTTTTTTTTTAATTTTGTGTTGGGGGTTTGTTTTAGTTTTACTTAAAGCATTACATAATGTCTTTTGAGCATTATGATTTCATCTGAGAAGTTTACCCATTCGGCCACCATTAGCCTGTTTAGTACCTTTGTATAAATAAAGAAAAGGTGTCTCTTCCCTGGGGACAGCTCCTTCAAAAAGATTCAGTTTGACTGACTTATAACTGCTATTCAGCCAGGTACTCTTGTGCAGTAAACAAAATGCAGCACCTTGCATGGTACAAATTCAGTTTCTAAACTTTGTACTGATATTGGAATTTTTTTTTGAAAAGTCCATTATAGTAAAAGTAGTTCGTATTTCTTAAAATATATATACATGCATACATACACTTTATAACTAAAAACAGCAGAAAAGAGGCTTCTTGCAGAATAGTATGAAATTTTTTACTTTAAAGAATATTATTTTATTTTATTATTATTTTTTAAAATATTTATTTATTTGTGCATACAGAACTGGGGTACAGGCCAGAGGCTCAGGGGTGGTGAGAGGCTTCACCAGAGACAGAGTGGGGAACAGAACAGGCAGATCAACGAAGTACACTGCTGAGGGGAGCAGCGGGCGGGTCAGGAGAGGTCTGCCTCGCCATGTGGTCTCCTCTGGGGCAGGCGGGAATCGAACTCATGCGGAAGCGGCTTTCGATTCTCAGTGCTGTGCTTTAACCCGCTGCGCCACCAGGGAGGGCCTAAAGAATATTATTTTATAGTTCTTACTTTTAGTATGCCTTATATTAAACATTACTACATTAATAAACTTTTAAATTTTGAATTAAGAAATAGCTTATACATTTAGGGCACTGGGATTCTGGGAATTAATGTGTCAGTATGTTCAGTGCTTTATATTAATAGTTTTATAGTTAACTTTTGGTCTTTCCTTCTTTTCCAGGTACTTTGGTCTGGAAAGCCATATGGTTCATCTCGAAGTATCGTAAGGAAGATTGGTACTAATTTATCTCTGATCCAGTGTCCAAGAATTCAGTTCCAGGTACTATGCTTTATATACTTCAGAAATTTATATTAATACTTGCATCAGAAATACAAATGAGACAGTTTAGAAACATTTTTGTAATCTTCTATCCCTGTTACTGTGATTATTAATAAAAACCGGTAACCTTAGTGGTCTAATTCTAGTCTCTATGAAGTGATTATTAAAGATTTTTAAGACATTTATCCATCATAAGAGTATATATTCAAAGATTTAGAAACATATAAAAAGCCAAGCAGTTAATTCCTAAGTGACAAAGGCCTTATGTTGAGTAAGCTTCAGGTAACCCCCATTACTTTCTTTAGTAGTAATAGCTTCCTCTTCAAGCAGCCACTGTGTATATTATTTTTAGATGCCCCTATGGATGCCATGAAGTTGCTTTCTCCATCTATGGTTTAAAGCTCAGCACTAATTATAGAAATCATTGCCTTGGTAACATCAAGACAAAGAGGTCATTGTGGCTCTCTGAATGAAGTGATAGTCAAACCCTGATTTAGGAATACTTTTCGACACTCAAGTCTTAGTTATTTAGCACCAAATCAGGAGCAGCTCTTTTCTCTAGTTGGAGATAAATTTACTACACTTGGCTTTGGTTTCTTATTCTCGTTACAGTTTTAGATATATATCACATGACTTCATTCTTGTTTTTTAGAAATTCTCTGCAATGGTTTTAAGACACAATCTTCTAGTTCAGCATTTAATAATACAAAGTTAAACAGATGTGTATGCTAATTTTATTGATTTATTGGTGACACTGGTTTACATTGTTTGCGTTTTAGAAGTATAGGATTCTCCATATCAGGTGTTATGACTTCACTGCACCCACCACCAAAACAACTATAGCCCACCAACCATATTGTTTCTTACTTTGATCTCATCTCTCCTTCTTTGGTAGCCTCAGTTCTTGGTCAGTTTCCTAGGATTAGTTCTTAGTCTGGCTTTATCTGACCACTTGTTTTTTCATTGGGTGTTGGTTTTCTCCTTCTGACTTTATTTTGCTTCGTATTACCTCCTCTAACTCCATTCATGTTGCCCCAAATGGTTAAGAGAAACTCTTGATAGCTAGGTAGTATCCTGTTGTGTAGAAAATACCTCATCTTCCTGATCCACTCATTTGTTTATGTGCACTTAGTTTGTTTCTGTAGCTTGACTGTTACAAATGGTGCTGTAGTGAATTTGGAAGTACATTTTTTCCTTCAAGTTAGTATTTTTGTGTCCTTTTGGAACTTAACCCAGGAGTGCAGTTGCTGGGTTGTGTGGTAGATCATTTCATTTGAGAAACAGCAATGCGGCATTTTCATAGGGATTCCCACCAACAATGTTAAGAGAATTCCTTTATCTCCATATCCTCACCAGCACTTGTTATTTTTAGGTGTTTTGATACAAGCCATTCTTACAAGTTTGAGATTTATCTCATTATGGTTTTTGATTTGCATTTCCCTGACAGTATGTGATGGTGAACATTTTTGGATGTGCCTGTTGACCGTCTTTTGTCATCTTTGGAGAAATGCCTACTTAGCTCTTCTGCCCATTTTTAAAAAAATAATATAATGGTTTATTTTTACATCATTTTGTGCCTTTTTTCATCTCAGTTGTAATCCTCGTGGGCTTCCCAGCACCAAATCACCCTTGTGTCATCACCATAGTACAGTGTCTTCTACCCATTTTTATTTACCTATTTATTTATTTTAAAGATTTATTTATTTGTGCATACAGAACTGGGGTATAGGCCAGAGGTGCAGGGGCGGTGAGAGGATTCACCAGAAACAGAGATGGGAGCAGAACAGGCCGATCATTCGAAGTGCACTGCTGAGGGGAGCAGCGTGCGGGTTAGGAGAGGTCTGCAGCGCTTGTGGGATCACCTCTGCCTTGGGATCACCTCCAGGGCAGGTGGGGATCAAACTCATGAGGAAGTGGCTTTAGCTTCTCAGTGCTGTGCTTTGACCTGCTGCGCCACCAGGGAGGGCCCTCTTGTGCCTATTTTTAATTGGATTTTTTGTTTTCTTTTTTGTTGAGTTATGTGAGTTCTTTGTAGATCTTTGATATCAGCCCACTATTAGCTGTATACTGATTTTAAATATTAGACTAGCATATGAAGTGTGAAGACGTATTTAATGCACAATTCACAAAATTCAAAATTGCATTTTGTGAGCTTTTTTGATATCGCATCATACTCATAAATCACTTATTTTGGTAGCTAGAGGTAAATGTGTCTTAAGTGATGTTTACTCAGGTTTATACAGGTTGACTGAGAAGACTGTTGTTGTATTCATAATCTTGCTTACAAATTGATTGGCAAGGCCTTTGTGCATAAAACTAGAAATTGGCAGATTGGAACTTTCCAAGAGGTAATTTTTATCAAATTGCAGTATTTAAAAAATATAACTGAACTAAACTGTGGTCGTAAATCCCCAAGCATAGAAAGTTTGTTTGGAGGTAGTTTTGTTGTTATTGCCATTTTATAGTTGAGTACTAAAATTAATTTATTTGGTTTTCTGATTCAACTTTCTAATTTTGCAGGTTGGATTTCTGTGTCTTTATAGGGTCACAAGTCAGAGACAGACCAACATTGTTATTTATACTTTCAGTTAATGGGCTCAATGAATATTGAGCTGGTATAAGTGATAAATGTCAAACAGTTGTGTAAAAGTATGCAGTAAATATTTTATTGCTATGTTATTTAAAGAAGACCTGCCTATAGTCTTGTTCACTATAACATTATTTGCTTTACCTGGACTTCATTTCATGAGCTATAGAAATTGAGTTGGTTGCTTTATATTCAAAATACATCTCCAGACCTTTCACATTTACTTTAACTGGAGAAAAACAAACTTTCCCTGATCCTGTTACACCTTTCAGATTTGTACATTTTAATCTTTAGTCATAGCTACATACTTCTGGTCACAAACATTTCATGTATTTGAATATTGTGGCCACCTTGGAGGTAGCAATCAGATTCAGACAATGTGAGAGAATAGGCCCTTCTTTTTTCATAGATCTTATTCTAGATTCACAAAACCAAAAGAAAAATCAGATCATGAAGGAAATGAAGAAAGCAGTGACTCTGAGGGTTTGGAAGAATGAGTGCAGAGGTTTTGATTTGTAGCAGTTCTTAACACTGGATGCTTTGAAAAAAAATTACACAGGTTCAGGGGTCTTACTCCAGTGATTATTTTCCTATCCTCTTTGCAAAAACATTTACAGAGCTTTTGAAGAGTCAGAGGGTCTCCTCCAGGCTTATTAAAACTGAATTTCATACATGTTTTAAAACACTTGAGGGTTTCTTTTATGTATCTGATATTGAGGATCTCGGGCACAGATTGTGTTTTGGCATCTTAGTAAAGGAAATTTATGTTAAAGAAGTAGCACAATATCTGTTGACAATTATGAAAACAATCATTAAAATACTTTTGGGGTGCATTTTTATAAATTTTAAATGGAATTAAAAGCATAGAATGTAAGTATAACATATTGGGGTAATAATATTAACCTGAAAAAAAAGTAAGACACGCCCGAAATTTTTACACAGTGTTATAAATTGGTGTTACCTCAATAAAAAGTATTAAATATATATTTCAAAAAAGACTTTAGACAATAAAAAGAAAGATGACCCTGAACATTATTAGATAAGGGGTAGGTGAGGATTTGGCACTGTAGTGTAACGTTTAAATCCCAGCTCTATAACAGTAAGACCTTTGACTAATTTAACCTATATTAATGTGTGGTACATGCACACAGTCACCCACACACCCGAAAAATTGGCCCCACTGTTTTCTTGCTAGGAGTGTTTGAGTTTGTGATGGAAGAAATATTCTGTAATCAAGTATGCACAGTTATATGTTACTTGAGAACATTTTGTTCTTATGGACTGCATGTAGGACAGTGGTCCCAAAGGTAGTATACACTCAGTGTATACCCTCAGTGTATAGTACCTAAGTTTGTGTAATTACACTGTGATGTTAATACAACAAAATCAACTGACTACAATTTTTCAGACTGTAGCTACATTATTAAGTGACATATGGTATAAGGAATAACATTTTCTCTCATATGCGCACTTCATGACTAAATCTGGACACAAAACAACCACCTGCCATGGCCTGTTTTTATTTAGTGAAGAAACTTGAAATCCATACATTGTTTTGGTACTGTTCAGTCACTAGTGAACAGACATGAGTTCTGTCCTTATGGAGATGTGATTCAGTGTGAGAAATGTTATATAAGCAACTATGCTAATAAACATGGCAGTGTCATGAAGGAAAAAGTATAGTATAGCATGCAGAATAGTAACATTGGTGGTCAAAGAAGATCTCTCTGAAGGAAGGATTAGAAAGAGTCATTGCTGAACAAACTTGGGGGGAGTACTGTTAGCAAAGAACATATGCACAGGTCCTACAGCAAAAGACAGTATTTGAGGAACTGATTTGTCTGTCACAAATTAGTGAAGTTGGAGACTTAGTGGTCTTTGACATCTGAACCATATGAAGATCAGCATGTGAATAAATACCAGAAATAATTGTTAAATTTGACACTTTCCTGGTTACTATTTGATAATCTGGAAAATATTAATATGAGATGCCATACTGTGTGTGGTATCCTTGTCTTGGTATTTCTGGCTATAAAGTGGGCATTAAATATAACCAAGTCCAGATGCAAGCATTAAATATTTATAAATTTGGCAGTATGGCATAGTAATTTGAAGCCTAACTGTTTAAAAAAAAAAGTGATCTTTTATTTATCCTCAGTAATCCTATTTCTCCATGGGAACACTGTTACTTGTCTTCCAAGGTTCTTTTGAGAGAAATTTCATTCAAATATGTCATGAATAGATAGTATTAAGGCTCAGTTTTTTAAAAGTGATCATATTACTCAGAAACATTTGTGGCTGAATCTGCTAACATTTGAGTTCTCCTTTCAGACTAGTATTCTTTTATACAGGCATACTGTTCTCCTTCTTTCAGACTAGTATTCTTTTATACAGGCATACTGTTTTCCAAACAGTTGGCATTATGGCACTATATTAAAATAAAAGATTTCTATCATTTTTTTTATGATAGTAGGAATTGGTTATAAAAAGAGAAATAATTGTAAGTATGAAAGCAGATTATTACTGTTTTGCCTTTAAGAATACATGTTTTACACTTGGCAATAAATAAATAGTAAAACAAACTAAATATATTTACTGTATACCTTTTTGTTACAAACTAAGCGAATTTAGGTTTTTAGTACCAGTGTGTTTATTTTATAAAAAGTCACATAGGATCAAAGTTAGCTTTTTTAATATTTTATTCAAAGTATTTCAACATTTGTACAGACTTTGTATTTTTTATGCACTTTAAATAACTTTCTTTGATATTTTGCATTATCAGAATACTTTATCCAATGTTACTTAATAAAATTCTTGAAATATAATTTAATTTTAGATAAATTGTATAAAATGTTAAAATTTTGCTCTGAAATTTTTTTGTACCTTCAAACAGGAATTTGGATTCTTAAATTAGTATATACCACTTTTAATTTTAAATCCTGTAATGTTATGGATTGTGAATACTCAGTTTCCTTTACTGTTGTCATTTTTTTTTTCTTTCTAACAAAGCTATGGTAGTACAGGACCTTGCTGGAACCTTCAGTAAGTTGGTCTTTTCTTTTCAAACTTCTCATCAATCATCCATGCATGTTGGTAGTGACATCTAAATCATACTTCCAAAAATTTAATGTTGTCAGTCTATTTCTTGCACAGACTTACCTAACTGGTATTTTACAAAATGAAATGTCCTTCCATTTCATGCTTATGTTACTCAGTGTACATTTCATCAACAATTGAAATAGCTTTTAAATAAAAGATAGTATTTTTCAATTTATATTTTGTCTTTGAATGGGTTTGATTTTTCAAGGAACTGTGTTAGACTTTTTTAGGGGCATAAAGCATTGTTCTTATGTAAATACATGACTTGTTAAAATTACTGTGTGTGTGAATGCCAGAAATACAAGTCATCAATTCTGGAACTGTTTCTTGACAATAGCATTAACTTTTTCATAACATTACCATGACATTCAGATTTTAAATATAAGCAATATCTAGTAAGGTTGCAAACTATTATAAGATCATATTATAGAAATATTTTTTAAGTTTATGTAAAAAGCAACATTACACATTTACTGTACAAAGTATTACAATTGTAAAACTGAGTGAGACGTTTGATTAGCTTATATCTTTGAGTATCTATTTTAAGAACTGTCTCATTTTGTTGTCTTTTTTTTTTTTAAAGATTAATTTATTTAGGCATACAGAACTGGGGTGCAGTCTAGAGGTGCAGAGGCACTGAGATGATTCACCAGACAGAGTGGGGAGCAGAACAGGCAGATTGACAAAGTACACTGCTGAGGGGAGCAGCAGGCCGGTCAGCAAAGGTCCACTGCGCCATGTGGATCACCTCTGGGGTGGGGATCTTGATATAGCATTGAAAAGGCTTTAACATATTGTGCCACCAGAGAGGCATTTTGTTTTCTTATATAAATTAAAATATCTGTGAAGGAAATTTTGTTACTTTTATGGGAAAGTAATAAATCTTGAGGTCAAAGACTGAAGTTACATTTATATTAAATATCCCGTCTTACCAATTACTAACTGTTACAAAAGGTGCTATTTTCTAAAAGAGTTTCTTGGTCTAATCTTATAAATAGCACCATAGGAAGGCACAAATTAGGTTGTACTTACATGATGTCTCACTTTACAAAACAACTCATTAAATATTGAATCTTTTGGAAGTTTCCATAGTGTGTGAGGCCTTCTTGTTCAAGGCTACCACTTAGAATCTTGCAACTGTTTTATAGGTATATTAGTACACCATTCTGTTTTAGTAAAGGATAGGAACAATTTTTTTTTTTTAAAGATTTATTTTTTTATTCATATAGGACTGGGGTACAGGCCAGAGATGGGAGGGTGAGAGGATTCACCAGAGACAGAGCAGGGAGCAGAACACGCAGATCGACAAGATACACTGCTGAGGGGAGCAGCGGGCAGGTCAGGAGAGGTCTGCCACACCATGTGATCACCTCCAGGGCATGCGGGAATCGAACTCATGTGGATGTGGCTTTAGCTTCTCAGTGCTGTGCTTTAACCCGCTGCGCCACCAGGGAGGGCCCAGGATAGGAACAATTTTTGAGTTCATGAGCGGAGTTCAGTTATGTTATTTAGGTTCTATAAGATATCCAACTACAGAAATATGTATTTAGTGATTATATTGTGATAAACTTCTGAAACATTTCAGGGAGGAGTACAGAAATCTTCATTTTGTTTTTTCCTTAATTGTTTTCCATTATCCCTTGATAATGTACTTGCTGAAGCTTTTATTTTTCTCGTCTGCCAACAATTACTCCATTACATAAGAAAACACTGATGTTTTGAAAGCCATTTCAACTTAATTCCACTATTAGGCTTTTGTTTTCTGCCTAGTACTCACTTCTTAAATAATCTACTCTCTTAACACACTTTTTTTTCCTCTTGCCTGTAATTCCCCCTCCTACCACCACTCCAGCAAAAACATAAATTAAGATATTTTAAAGACTTGATGTTTTTAGCATATAATTGTTAAAATGCACTTTTCTAATTCTACTTAAGTTCATAATTTTATATTATTGTGATATCAGAATGGGGTCCACATGCTAGCAACTCACGTGTGTAGATAAACTTTTATAACATTAAGATATTTTACGGTTTGTAATGGTATATTTTACTTCTGAGAAAGAGGCATTATTTGAGCTTAGTTCCAAAAGCTTGATCTGGAATGATGTAAGAAGGTACAAAAAATAAGAGAAAATAATGAAACAACAAAACCCCCAGAAAAAAACAAAGTAACAATTTTAAAAGGCTAAATGTAGCATCTTTCTAATTAAAAAAAAAAAATTATAAGTAAATCCTTTTGGCCTTTAAATTTTTTCTCTTAGAAGGTCTGCACTTTTATTTAAAATTGTTTTCAACTTTTAGGAAGTATTAATCTGACAACTTTATCTTTTAATTACTCATTCATTGATTATCTGACTGAGCTATTATTATGAAACTTAAATTTAATTTTTTCCTTTTTTTCAACTTTTTCCTCTATGTGTTTAAGGTTGACTAGAGAATTTTTGTTCTGCTCTTTATATTTTTCTTAAATATTATTTATACTTTTATTTAGTTTTGGGGGGATTTAAGGTTTTTTTAAAAGTATGTTTTCAACATTGAAACAGCATATTTATGATATCTGTTATAAAGTATTTCCAGATTTAGCACAAATTGGTCACTAGCTTGTTATTGTTATTTTAGTTTTTTAAAAAAATTTCAGATAAAAAAATTTCTAATGCTTAAATTTAAAAATCCTTAACATTTTAGGATGAACAGAGTAAAAAAAAAACCAGTTTCATTGGACCTGTAAAATAAAACATGAGCAAAAGTAAGTTATAATTCAGGGATTGTCATAAACTGTTTTTTTTTTTTAAGACTTACTTATTTATGCATACAGAACTGGGGTATAGGCCAGGGGGACAGGGACCAGTGAGAGGATTCACCAGAGACAGAGTAGGGAGCAGAACAGGCAGATTGATAAACTATACTGCTGAGGAGCAGAGGGCGGTCAGGAGTGGTCTGCTGCACCATATGGGTCACTTCTCTGGCCAGGGATCAAACTCTTGCTGAAACAGCTGCAGCCAGTATTGCAGTGCTGCACTTTTAATTTGACTCATTGTGCCACCAGGGAGGGCCCTTGTCATATACTATTAAGCCACAGTTCCTTTCATGGAGACTTCATTGGAAATGTTAGAAGCTGCCTGTGTGTTTATAATAATAGATGATGATTTTCTTATGTGATTAAAAAGTTTCACTTTTAATATTTTCATGGTATAGTAAAGATTTTTCTCATTTGTGACTTACAGCTTACCAGCCCTACAACAGGACATAGCCCCAGCCGCCCAGGAGAGGATGCAGTGGTGTCTTTTGCTGATGTTGGATGGGTAGCTGAAGAAGAAGTAGAGTGTTCAATGAGGCAAAGGTTAGTCTAGAATGCTGTAAGGATGAAGTTGCAATATTTTTTTTTTTAAAGATTTATTTATTTATACATACAGAACTGGGATATAGGCCAGAGGTGCAGGGCAGTGAGAGGATTCACCAGAGACAGAGTGGGGAGCAGAACAGGCAGACTGATGAAGTACACTGCTGAGGGGAGCAGCGGGCAGGTCAGGAAAGGTCTGCCACGCCATGTCACCTCCTGGGCAGGCGGGGATCGAACTCATGCTGCAGTGGCTTTAGCTTCTTAGTGCTGTGCTTTAACCCGCTGCGCCACCAAGGAGGGCCCGCAATATTTTTTAATTTTAAAAGATAATACATATTCAGTATTTCCTTTTAATAGCCTAATTTGATCTCTAGTAGCCTAGTTACTTTTCTTGAGTAGTCTTCTGTCCCTGTTAAAGATTCAGCTAGTATTTATCATTCTTCAAGGCAAATAACTTCATAACTGATTCATCTTTATGAATTACAGAATTTCCAGTCCTTCAGAAATTTATGTTTTAACATAAATAGAAAAAAATTATTATAAACATACTTAAATAAATATAGCACTTATTACTCTCTTACTGGGGCAGAGGAATCATTGCAGTTAAATGAAGGAATTGTGTAATCATGGGAGATTGTGTCTTAAAAACTGTGAATCAAGATGAGTTATGATTCAAAGGAAACAATGTGTTAATAGTTAAAGAAGCAAGTCCATTTATTTGAAGAAATCTGAATAAGTTGCTGTTTCCATCTAATAAGTAATAATGGCTTAGTAATGGCTTTCCAGAGATATTTGGTATGCTTAGAGGAAATTAGGAAGAAAATTAATATTATTACTCTTAATAAAGTCTAAAATATTGAGTTATTAGACCTGATATCCTCATCAAGTGTCAGCAGGGGCCAATAAAATAGAATGAGTGAATTGCAGGGAAAGTGAATGCACTTAAATGTACTAATCAGGAGAAAACATAGGATGTTTCAGAAACTCCCAGTGGCTCAATGAAATTAGAGAGTAACAGAAAAGGCAAAGCTATAGGATATGAATGTGGAAAGTAGGTACAAGTCTAAAGGTCATCCATGTTAGACTTCAGAAATTTAGACATTTTACTGAAAGTTCACATTGTAGACCCATGGAAGAAATTTAAATACCACAGTGATGCCAAACTTGTAAAAAAGCAAACAAAAACTTTGCATACATCTAGTAATTCATCCAGATTGTTAATGTATACCCATAGTTCCTTTTTCAGTACTAAGTAGTATTCCTTGGTGTGGCCAGAACAGCGTTTGTTTAACCATGAACTAGTTGTATACCTCCGGAGAGATTTCAGTTTTCATCTATTATGAATAAAGTTGCTGTAAACATTTGTGTTTTCCTTTAAACAGTATGAAGCATAGAAAAGAGCCAGAGTTTAACTAGTTTAAGAAAATGACAGAACACATGGAGAAGAGGGACAAAGTCAGAAATACTCAGAAGAACTGAAGTTTTTTAGAAAATAGAGTTAATAGAAGAGTCTAGGGTAATCCTGAATAGGATAATTTTGAGAATGATGGAATAAATTAATAACAACATAGGAAGACATTTTTGGTGGGTGGATATAGGAGGAGGCATTTCAGTCTGCAGTATGTTGTGTTTAAATTTACGATGGGACATTCATATTGTTGAGAAATAATTTTGTGTCTAGATGCTAATGAGAAAAGCATGTATGTCAATGTGAAGATAGAATGGCAGATAATCACAGTGCTCAAGGAACACAGATACAACTTGAAGAACAAATCTATCCTGGATAAAGTGCATTTCCTATTTAGTTAATTTTAAAAAATAAAGGGAAGCCCCACACCCACAAGAAGCATCTCAAGAAACAATAGCAGAAAGTGTTATGGAAGCAGAAGTAGGAGATTATCATGGAAGGGAAGGGAATAAACTAGTCATTACTGTCAAATACTGGGAGACCAGCCAGGTAAAGCAAAAATGTAGTAAGTTTTAATTCTGTTTTACAGTTGAAAGATTATCATTGACTTTAGGAGAAGTCATTATATTAACTAGATAAAATAAGAATCAAGTAATCCAAGAGAAAAAAAAAATTTGATTTGAATGACAAGTAGAACTGAGGACATAGCAGTACCTGAGCAGAGGCCAGGTATTGAAGGGATTAGCAGGTAAAGAGCCTTCCCCCCTTTTTTTTTTAAAGATGTTTGTTCTCTTGATTAAACTTCTTATTTTGAGATAGTCTTCACATGCAGTTGTAGGCAGTAATACAAAAATATTTCTGGTATCTTTTACCCACTTTTCCTTCAATGGTAACATCTGCAAAACTGTGGCACAATATCTTAATCAGGACATTGATAGTGACATTGAAAAGTCAAGATGCAGAGTGTCATCATACCATAAGTAACCATCATGGCACCATTCCTGTTTCCCTTTCCAGATTTCCTTAATTAATGGAAATCCTTGCTCTGTATTTTCACATTTTTGCCACTTAAGAATATTACATAAATGGAGTCACCCAGCATACAATTTTTTGGGATTGGCTGTTTTCACAAAGCATAATTCTCTAGTGATTCATCTGGATTATGTATATCAGTAGTTTTTTTTTTTTTTAAAGGTTTATTTGTTTATTCATACAGAACTGGGGTACAGGCCAAGAGATTCGGAGGGTGAGAGGATTCACCAGGGACAGAGTGGGGAGCAGAACAGGCAGATCGAGGAAGTACACTGCTAAGGGGAGCAGCGGGTGGGTCAGGAGAGGTCTGCCGCACCATGTGGTCACCTTCGGGGCAGGCGGGAATCGAACCCATGCGGAAGTGGCTTTAGCTTCTCAGTGCTGTGCTTTAACCCGCTGCGCCACCAGGGAGGGCCAGGAGTTTTTCCTTTTTAATACTAAATAGTCGTCTTTGGTATGGGCAGACTTTAACCATGAACTGGTTGATGCACAACTGGAGTGATTCCAGTTTAACTACTGTGAATGAGCATGTGATTGTTGGCTGTCCTTTATATCTTTATGGATAAAATGTCTTGTGGCTTTAGCCACAAATCTCTGTCATTGAAATAGACTTCCATCTGTAGGTAAGGTGTCGTTTTTAGCTGCTTTAAAAACTTTTCATTAGTTTCCAGAGATTTGAATAAGATATTTCTTGATACAAAGTTCTTTTCCAGTCTTGCTTTCTTAATCTCCTCCTTTTACTCTGACAACACAAATATGAAATCATTTGTTGTGGTCTCTGACATTGTGTGTGTGTTTTTCTTAAATGCTTTGTGTCCTGCCCACCCCCACCCCCCACCTCCCCAATGAGATAATTAATCGCTTTTTCCCCTCTGTCTTCTCCAATCTGATTTTGATGACACCAACTGTAGTTTTTATAATAATTGTCCTTTTGGTCCTAGGATTTTTTTGTGTTTTTCTTTCTTTCTTTTTTTTCTTTTTTTGGTTCTCTTTTATATCCCTTTTTCTTGGCAGGATTTTTTTCATTTGTGTCAAGAATATTGGTAGTTGCCCATTTGAAGCCTTTTTATCATAGCTGCTTTAAATCTGCCAGATAACATCTCTGGCATCTGTTTGTCTTTTTCTAATTCAGCTTATATTCTTTAATAAAAAGGAGTGCCTTTTTATTAAAACCTAGATTTGGGGGATATATAAAACTCTGGATTATTTTAATCCTGTTGGGAAACTGGCTTTTCTGATAGTACTCTGGCAGAGAAGACTGGGTACCAGCCTTCTGCACACCACAGGAGATATGGTATACCATATGGGAACAGAAGATCAGGTTTTCCACTTACCCTTCTCCACTCACCCCAAAGGTACTCCTTCTGAATCTTAGGTTTGGAGAGAGCCCTAGTTCCTCATGGGGTCTCGTGTAACATTTTCCTAGTAGTGAAGGGAGAATAATCTTGTTACTGTAGGGTGTGGTAGGATTCCAGACTTCTCGCATTGTCTCCATTTATCAGTTAGTTTTACAAACCAATTAAATATACAGATTGATGAGGTAGCAAATTTGCATAAGTTTTATCTTTAAGTTTATTTTTAAATATTTAGATACCCTCATAGGCTGTTATCCATCATAGTGCACCCAACACTAAATCACCCATAGTCCATAACCATGGCCCATTGTGTTTCTTTCCCTCTTTGTTTTTACCCTTTTCCTATCTCTTTCTCCTTTAGTTCTATAATCATCTTTCAGGGGTTAGTTTTAGATGTGTCCTTTATCTTTTAATTTAGTTACTTTATATTTGACATATTAGGGACACCATCCGGTATTTATTTTTCTCCTTCTGATCTGTTTCATAGTATGGTCCCTTCCAGCTCTATCTGTGTTGCCACAAATGATATAAATTTACCTTTTTATAGCTAAGTAATATTCTATTATGTGTGTGTATATTTCTGTCCTTCTATAGGTATATGTATGTATGATTGACTTGTATCACTTACATATTGATCCACTTATCTATTTTGGGGCTTTGGGCACTTAGGTTGTTTCCATAATGTAACTTACAGTAAATAGCACTGCAGTCAACATGGCTACAAATTTTTAAACTAGTATTTTTGTATACTTGGGTAGATACCAAGGAGTGGCACTGTTGAGTTGAATGGCAAATCTATTTTTAATTATTTGAGACTCCTCCCATATATTTTTTCATAAAGCCAGTTTGCATTCCATCATTGTATAAAAGTTCCATTTTCTTCACATCCTCACCAGCACTTGTTGGCTACTGCTCTTTTTTAAATTCATTCAAGAACTGGGGTGTAGGCCAGATGTGTGGCGGCAGAGCAGCTAAGTGGATTCATCAGAAGTTTCTGGGGAGCAGAACAGGTGGATCTACTGAAATAGACTGCTGAGGAGAGCAGTGGGTAAGATAGGAGGGGTCTGCTGTGCCATGTGATCTCCCTGGGTGGGGATTGAACTCATGCTAGGGTTGAGGAGTGGAAGCATTCACCAGAGACAGGGTGGGGAGCAGAACAGGCAGATTTACTGATATACACCGCTAAGGGAAGGGGGGAAGCAGTG